CCTGGTATTTAGAATTATGTCCACTGATGATATTCTGTCACAATGTCTCTTTTGTCTGTCCCTGCCTCTTCTATCGTTGATCTTTTCCGGCATTACGATGTTCTTCAATGCTCTTTTTTCTCACCACATAACACTGACTGCTTCTATCTTTTAGCTGTATAAAAGTTTCTCATTTTAGTGGTCATTTCCAGTCAGTTGTCATTAGCCATTTTCTCCACAGTACCACCACTTTGTGGCACACACATCTTATTTTCTTCTTTGTGTCTTCTCACTGATCCGGTGTGGCTTTTCTGTATATGCCCTGCACTCCTCTGGTGTCTCGGGTGATGGATTTGTTAATCTTTTTTTAATTATTTTGCGGCTACACCATTTATCTACCTCTTCCTTGGTCTTCACCTCCCTGCTCTACAGTAAACCATTCCTTATGCAGTCTGGTCTGGCTGCATTCTCATTGGATGGCCGAACCATTTCATCCCATTTCGCTCTTATTCCACCTTCTCTCTAATACTGGTATTTGTAACCTTGTCCCATCTGGTGCTGTTAGTGACACACATCATATACGCATCGATAATTCAGAGGATGTTTAGCTACAATTCCCCCCCCCCCCTCCCATCTGTGTAACAACACCGAGACAAACAAACAGATGTGAAAGAATATTTACAGCCTGCGTAACAATATCTACACCAAACCTCGCATCACTTCACAGACCAGCCATCTGCCCGTAACTAACAACAATACAATAATAATAATAATAATAATAAACAAAAAAATTTAAAAAAAAATATTGGCAAACATACGGGTCACATAAGATATGTTACAAAAAAAAAAATACAAGGAAATATCAGAAAGACAAGTTCTTATGCACTACAGCAATAAAAAAAAAAAAAAATTATATATAAAAAAAAATTTCTAGTAAAAAAAAAAAATTACAATATGCAGATCCAGTTTTTTAGCTTCAATATAACAATTATGGTTAACTATGGCCGTTTTTAATTATGGCTTCACCTTCATCTTTAAACTAAACATGGCCAGATGGAAGAGACAGTAACAGTTTGATAGTGAATTAAATTAGTAACAGTCAAGAAAAAAAGTCACTAAAGGAACAATTTGTCAACAGCATTTAATGTGTGCTGGCAGAAGCCGAGAGAATATAAGTGCTTGCCATAGCAGTCACCTAAAGACCTACAAGCCAGACTTTGTTTTACCGGCTAGGAAAATTGTCCATGCCTCACCAACGCAGGACGCAATAACTAAGTTGATTAAACCAACTGTGTGGCCAGCAGGTGACAAACTCCTTGTGTTCCAAGATCACGCTGGGGGGCCAGAAAAACTACATAGTTCCCAGATTTATGGTATCAGGGAATCAAGGTGTGATATCCATAGTACCAAGCCAAATGGTTTCTGATCCCAAAAAATACCTACTTCCTTTTTTCTCTCTCCAAATATTTTCTCTAGAATTTCATAATGAAAGATCAGCATCCAGTGACTCAAAAAAGTCACTATTCAGATGAAAATCTAACAGCAGCGAAATCTAAGCAACCCCATTCAACCCTATAACAGTTATATTGAGGCACCTGACTCTTATGAGGTAACCTGGAGTCAAATGGGGGGTAAGTATGTGAGAGGTGAATTCCGACCACCTCTGTGATCGTTGAGGCAAGGGACATTATTCAAATATTTCTCAGAATTCACAAGCAGGATTTCTTCAGAGTTATGGCACCTAACTGATGAACACTAGTAATAACAAATAAACAACTGAAAAGCTGAAATAAACAAAGAACTGTTACTAAAACTAAAGTTTTGTTTTAATAACTAGAGGAATGAATTTTAACATAACTCTCATCTGAAATATGGCGGAGGTACCATGGCAACATATAAACAATTGGCAGAAATTTGTGCACAAATATTGGGTACACGACAATTTGTGGTACCGTCCTGGCCGGAAACGTCACAAACAGTGCATCACTGAGCGTCAAACCTGAGTTTTTTCTCCCTCACTCCTCGTACCTAGTGTACAGCCAAATCCTCCCCAAACATGAATGAAAACCCAGTACGCCAGGTCACACAGTGTCATCATCTTCACATACGCCTGGATACAAATGATACCTGATGGAAAAGCAACACATGTTTAAAAACTCCGAGTGAATGAGCCAATGCCTCGTGTGGGTTCCCATGTCCTAATGTGAGGACAGGAAAAGGAATACCCTCCCCCTCCCCCCAATAAACGTGGTAGATCAAAGATCAGAAAACATTAGGAAATTATACATTAAGGCCATTAGGAGGGCCATTTTCTCATGTCTTCTTCTTCATCAAGTCTATGCCATGGGTAGCAATGGTAGTCATGTCTATCCACAACCTTCTGTCTCGTTTACTTCCAGTCAACTCTGACACAGATGATCTTCCAAAGTCCATGCCGTGTTGCGTTGGTAGTCATGTCTATCCACAACCTTCTGTCTCGTTTACTTTCAGTCAACTCTGACACAGATGATCTTCCAAAGTCCATGCCGTGTTGCGTTGGTAGTCATGTCTATCCACAACCTTCTGTCTCGTTTACTTTCAGTCAACTCTGACACAGATGATCTTCCAAAGTCCATGCCGTGTTGCGTTGGTAGTCATGTCTATCCACAAACTTCTGTCTTGTGTACTTTCAATCAACTCTGACACAGATGATCTTTCAAAGTCCATGCCGTGTTGCGTTGGTAGTCATGTCTATCCACAACCTTCTGTCTCGTTTACTTTCAGTCAACTCTGACACAGATGATCTTCCAAAGTCCATGCCGTGTTGCGTTGGTAGTCATGTCTATCCACAAACTTCTGTCTTGTGTACTTTCAATCAACTCTGACACAGATGATCTTCCAAAGTCCATGCTGTGTTGCGTTGGTAGTCATGTCTATCCACAACTCTCTGTCTCGTGTATTTTCAATCAACTCTGACACAGATGATCCTCCATGCCATGATGTCAAACTGTCCAGCATCTTTTCTCTCGGTCTACCTCTGCCTCTCCTCCCCTCTAACTTTCCGTTCCTACTGTTATGAAGTACTCCCATTTTCTCCTTCTCATCATATGACCAACAAATGTGGATTGTCTCTGTCTGATGTGGGCAATCAGTTCTCTTCATGAGTCAGTTTCTTTCAAGTCGTCTTCATTACTCTTGTTATCTGTCCAGGGTATTCTCATCATTCGTCTATAAAATCATATCTCTGCAGCTTCCAAATAGGTTTTCACTAATTTACCAACTGTCCATGATTCACCTTCGCATATTAAGATGTGATTTACATGGCTTTTAAGAATTCTCCTTCTTGTCTCAACCGACACAGAAAGATTGCACAAAATATTCTTCATTTTGTAAAATGCTGCCTTTGCTTGGGCTTTCAACATTTAACTTCTTTACTTCACCTTCCATCAGATGTTATTAGGGTACCCAAGTACTTAAACATATCAACATGGTTGAGGTTTGTCCCATTTAATTTGATGTTGCATTTTGGAGGGTCAGTTTTCTTTTAAATTACCATTATTTCTGTTTTTCTGCTGTTGAAACTAAGACCCTGGTTTTCACTTTCCGTTACAATTGCATTCATTTTTTCTTGCATGTGTTTTTTTATTTTCAGGAATCAAAACTATATTGTCAGCATATCGCAGGTTGTTAACAGGTAGCGTAACAGATCGCTTTTATCTATACAGTCATCGAGTCCACTTAAGTCGAAGTCGGATAAGTCGAATTTCGGTTAAGTCGACATGACCAGCTTAGTCCCGGCAATTTTCTCTATTGTGTGTGCTGTTTGGATAAGTAGAAATCCTTACAAGTGGAAGCATCTTCTTAGGTCCCTGCGACTTCTACTTATCCAGATTCGACTGTAGAACATTTAAAAAATTCAGATTAGCCTGTCCCTGTAGGCTCTGAGGCCCCATCATGAGGGAAAACCAGGACAGACCCAAGAAACCAACAAACTGCATACATTTAAACCAGATCAGCAAAATGGATGTGCACTCAAGACTCAAGGTTCTGGAACAAGACTAAAGTTCGGAGGTGGGCGATCGCCCAGAACTTTCCGTCACATCTTTCAGCCAGTGAATGCCAGGAAGATGAAGATTAGATAGGAATTATGTTTGCAAATCTACTAGTTACAAATTGTATGATAAGTTGGACCAACACATATTGAAGCAGAAACAATGAAGACTTTGAAATTGCCCGTGCTTCACAGAATGACTCACAAAGAAAAGTGATTGCGCACATCAGAACGAGACCATTCACATTCTTTGGTCATATCATGAGAAGGATACAACTGGAGTACATCGTGACTGGGAAAGATGAAGATAAAAAGAAGGCAGAGGGAGACAGAGAGAGAAGATGCTGGACAGTTTAACGTCACGGTATGGAAGATCATCTGTGTCAGAAATGACTGAGAAATACACGACATAGAAGGCTGGGGGAAGACATGATTACTAAGACCACACTGTATGCGCTATAAAAAAAATTTGCTGATTTAACCTTGTAGCTGACGAGATATAGCTAAACAGTAAAGAACCCTTGTCACACCTTCAGGCATACTGGGCACATAGGGTCAGACCTATATTTTCAGACACTCAGCAACTGATGGGTGATGCTGTCAACACTAAGTCAGCCATCTTTACTTCCCATGACACTATCTGGTACCCATTTAAAACCTGGGAGCAAAGGTCATTTTTTTTTTTTTTTACAAAGTCATGCTCGGTCTGGATCTGAACTCATGGCCTTACGATCTGCAGACGAGCGCCTAGCCGCTACACCACGGCTGCTTCCTACAACGAAATAAACCTGGGCAATCAATCATGCAATGTTTTGTTTGCATCTGCGTTACTTCAATAAATACACACGCAGAACCCACCCAGGTTGTGGAACAAGTCTCAAGTCCAGACGTAGATGAAAAACCAGAACTTTCCACTGGAGTTTACAGCCGGCGAACACCAATAAAAAGAATAAATACACAAGATAAATAAAACAAAACAAAAAAAACCTACCTAAACATGCAACTGCTTATTCCTTTCGGAAATCTGCACTGTTTCGTTAAATATCAGCTCTTTTAGTCGTTCCTTGGGCAGGTCATCCAGCTCCATCTCAAAGGTGAAAGGTTCGTCTGCACAAGGCTGTCAATCATCAATAAAGGATGGTGTGAACCAATGAAAATAAATCAATCAAGAATTCCCACATGTGCTCCGTCCTCTTCTTCAGTAGCCAAGGAAGAGTTGACATGCAAACAGCACCATTTACAACTTGATTAAAAGCCCGCTTATGTTTCCCTGTCATTGTTGAATATCTTTCAGAACCTCTACTCCATCCCCTGCCCCAATTTTTCACTGAACTACACTAGTCTTTCAACCTATGGATTGTCTATTCTATTGCACTGTCCATCTGGTATACATTAACATATGAAATATGAATATACTCCACAGCCACCTTCTGAGTGTGCCTTTTCTGATAAAGTTTGACCTTTCACACTCACCAAGCCTTTTTATGGGAGCCACTGTACCAGCCAATTTTCTTCCTTCAAACTGGCCCTAGTTCCCAGGGTCTTCTTTTTCTTTCCTATCTAAAGATACTCCAAATTACATCGACCGATTTATTCAATCTAATCCTAAGAATAGCAAGCGTTTAGGTTTATTACATTTGCCTAAACCCAGAATTGATTTATTTAAAACAAGTCATCATATTCTGCTGCTCATTTATGAAACCATCTTCCACTCGATCTGAAAACTACAAAAAGTCCCTACTCATTTAACCGCAAACTCTTTCATTTCATCATTATCAGTGATTACATGCCACCTTAAATGTAGTTAATAATCCACAATGCTTTGACTTCATATCCATAATATGCATATCATTACAAGAATATAACATGCTTCATTGATGAAATACAACTGCTGTGTTAAAGATGGAAGTTTGGAAGAGCCGAATGTAAGACAGGCAAGGCCTGCGTGCCTAATTTGTAACCCTTTGAAAATAAAGTTTGTTCGTTCGTTCTTTGCGTTCACCAGCATAAGCTACCATAGAAAGCTCTAGTTGTTTGCCCACCTTTGGACTGTAGTCTTGTTCCAGAACTTGACTGTTGCGTTCACATCTGTTTTACAGATCTGGCTTATTTGTATGCAGACTCTTGGTTCCTTGCCTCTCAAGCAGGTGCACTCCGACATTGAAAGATGCCCCCAGTTACTCAAATCTTACGATATGCTTGTTGGGGAAGTAGTGAATCTATTCTTGTAACTCCACAATGGGGCCAGCAAGTGCCAGACCACGTCACCACACAGACTCCCAACAATAAGATATGTTAACTGTCCTTTTAAAGGTGAACACAAGTCTTCCGTAGATGAGACCTGGGTCTCAACATGTAATATTGACATATACAGCAGTGGGTCATGTAATCACTGCAACCAAACCCTATACTTGAAACGGTACAACATTTAGCTAAGCAGCAGGAGGAAGGAGGAGGACACGAAGCTGAAGAGGAAAAAATAGAAGAAGAAGAATGAGGAGGAAAAGAAGAAGAAGATGACAAAATAGATGCAGAAGAAGGACACAAATAGAAGAAGAGGAGGAGGAAGAAAGAGATGTAGAAAAAGAAGGGGGGAAAAAGAAAGAAGAAGAAGAAGAAATATATGTAGAAAAAAAAGAAGAAGAAGAAAGAAGAAGAAAAGGTGCAAGCAACAAACCTCATCTGCTGGGTCGTAGTATTGGTCCAGATAAGACTGTGCCAGGGCCTGCTCCACAGTGATCCTCTTGTTGGGGTTAAAGGTCAACATTTTCTCTAACATATCCAGGGCTGTGGATCAGAGTGGCCAGATTGGGCATCACATGTCAATCACAATAACAGTAAGCCAGTTAACTCATACACTCAACACACAAAACAATCAATCAGGTGCCATCTCTGCAGTAAAGACTAGCTGCAATGGGTCTCCAACAATGTCTATCGTCTTGGAATTTAGAACTATCTGCCAGAGTTTCCAGCCAGTGAATGCAAAGATGATGAGAATACTGCCAGACAAACAGTTCATGTTATGTGGCTTTGTCTTCTGTCCATATACCGACTAAAAGGACTTCAATTTAAATGTTCAACATTATTAAACACTGTCGTCACGGTGACCTAGTAAACAAAAAAAAACAATGACCAGTAATTAGGAAAAATACTTAAAATAATTTTTTTTTTTTTTAAACCATTGTAGAGTTTTTAAAAAAAAAAAAAAAAGGTACGTTGCGTATCCTTTACAACATGTTGCAGAACCAACCCTATCATTTTTTGGCTGTTGTGGTCTTTCTATGCAAAAGTAGTTTGCCACTGCTGTCTGAACGGTCAGCTCTTGGTACCACTGTCAAAAACATTGAAAGACAAACCGCCCGCACCGGAATCGAACCCGGCACTCCGTCATTACGAAGCTCACTTGCAGCGCCTTAGCCATAGACACCGACATTGCAGACAGGCCACCAAAATAAAAAAAAATTAAAAATATGACTCCATTTATTGACACAAACAAAAGTAACTTCCATACAGAATATGGGGAAGAGTCAATAAACAATAATGCAGTAGAGAATTCATTGGGACAAATCTCTATAAATCTAACCATTGTGGCGAATTATGGCAACAAACTTCTTTTACCCCATGACCCCGTCTCAGGTTACCACTACGATGACCAATGGGAAAACTGTGACGTCATAATTTATATTTATAAAGACATTTCTAAAACAAGAACAGACCCACTGCCTTCCCAACAAACTACAGTCATTCCTAGTACTCCTAAATGTCAGCGCAAGTGCAATTAACAACAGCCTTATTAGCCAGGCAACTACTGAACAGGACACGATAACCACACCAGTAAAGTGACTATCTGCATACTGCACCTAACCGTAAATGTCATTTTGAGGATTCCCTGCAAGACAGGGCTCATTTCCCAATATATTTGATGTCAATTTGTTTTAACACCTGATCCAAACTGGCAAGTCAGCCAAACAATAAACAAACCTACCTCTTGGGTCAGCGTTGGGGAACAACTTCTGCCAGGGAACCTTAGGTTTGTAAGGTAAAGACTGGATATACCCTCTTGCCTGCACAAAGAGAAGGAAAAAAAAAATCCACACATTCTTAGAACAATACAGATATTTTAATGTTCAGTTCCTGGCCTCCTCTAGAAAACATCCCTGAAACCACTCCGATGGACAATGTGCATCATTTCATCTCGTATTACTGCCATAATTTAAAAATTGAAAAAAGCCACGGCCATTAACCACAATGATGGTGCATTGCGAGGATGATGCTAAATTCACATATTTATAGACCTTGGTGGCATGCGTCCCCCTCAGGCAAAGCTATTCAACTTGTGACACATCCATTCAAATGAAATTTATCATTTATCTCTATAATCTTCGGGGGGGGGGGGGGGGGGGGGGGGGGGGGGGGGGGGGGGGGGGGGGGGGGGGGGGGGTGGGGGGGGGGGGGGGGGGGGGGGGGGGGGGGGGGGGGGGGGGGGGGGGGGGGGGGGTGTGTGTGGTTGGGGGGGGGGGGGGGGGGGGGGGGATGGGGGGTGGGGGGGGGGGGGGGGGGGGCGGGGGGGGGGGGGGGGGGGGGGGGGGGGGGGGGGGGGGGGTTTGTTGGTGGATATATACAACTGAAATCTATTATATCATCTTCTTTGGTGTTGTTCCTTACATATGAAATCTATAATTTCTCTCCATAATCTTCGTGGGTTGTGTTCCATACAAGTGAAATTTATAATTTCTATCTATTATCGACACAAAAAATGTTAGATAATAGAACAAGAATTTCTTCTTCAGTCTTGTCCACACACTACTTGTGTGGGCTGCGGGGTGCCATTGGGGAGAGGAAGGCTGCCTCTTTAACATGCAGGTTGTAACTCCCATTGGGGAGAGGAGGGTTGCCTCTTTAACATGCAGGTTGTAACTCCCTTGTGGAGAGGAGGGCTGCCTCTTTAACATGCAGGTTGTAACTCCCATTGGGAAGAGGAGGGTTGCCTCTTTAACATGCAGGTTGAGTTGTGGAGAGGAGGGCTGCCTCTTTAACATGCAGGTTGTAACTCCCATTAGGGAGAGGAGGGCTGCCTCTTTAACATGCAGGTTGTAACTCCCATTGGGGAGAGGAGGGTTGCCTCTTTAACATGCAGGTTGAGTTGTGGAGAGGAGGGCTGCCTCTTTAACATGCAGGTTGTAACTCCCATTAGGGAGAGGAGGGCTGCCTCTTTAACATGCAGGTTGTAACTCCCACTGGGGAGAGGAGGGCTGCCTCTTCAACATGCAGGTTGTACAAGTTGACTAATTAGGGGTTTCATACAAAGCCGAAGTGTATTTGCCAGAAAAAGGAGGAACCAACAGTCTGCATACAAATAAGCCAGATCTGTAAAATGGATGTGCATGCAAAACCAAAGTTTTGGAAAAAAGTTCAGAAATGGACCCAAAAAAAAAAAAAAAACAGAACTTTCCATTAGAGTTTACAGCCGGTGACTGCAAATATTTTTTTTAATTTCCCAGATTCCCTTTCTCATTCCACGTTAGCACTGCATGAGGTGTCCCAGGTAGTTAGTGCCCTTTGAATATTTTAGTCCAACTGATAGACTGGCTGGTTCTGCCCCAGTTGGTGGAGAACTGAGTCATCACAAGCTAGATGTTGTGAGGGCCCTTTACGGACAAGTGAACAGTGTGGAGTCGCAGACTGATCGTCAGGGTCTGTTGTTGAGAATGGTGCTACGAGGAGTGACCTGGGGATCTAGGCCGACGCTCAACACTCAAGGGAAAGGCGAGACGGCTATACAATCAGACTGTTACTGGTGCTATTGGAATCAGAACTCTGTAATTTCTGCTGAAGATAGGGATGGAGCACTTATGGGAATGACAGGAATGTTGTGATGTTAATTCTACATTCTTCTACTGAGTTCATCCAAAGATGTAAATCCACTGTGCTCATTTACAGCATGGCTGTGATATCTGTACCTTTCGGACGACACATCCTACTTCTGCTATTATTTATTGCCGGGGTTAACCTTCTGGGAATTCTACACTGAACACTCCACCTTAAAACTCTGTCCTAAGACACCAACAACAATAAGCAAGGTGGAAGTCGAGAGACCTTGTGTTACCCACCTTGTCATTGATGATACAGCCCAGATCTTCCTGACTGGGAGACCCCAACACTCCCAGGATGTGGTTCAGTTGGTCGAGATCTTGCTCAAGTTAAGAAAAATGAATGACCCCCACAAGACAAACGTTAACTTTTCTAAAAGAAAAACATAAACTAACCCAGGTTCTTGTTAATTTTTCTAACACATGAACTAATTCAGGTTCACTATTACTTTTTCTAACAGATGAACTAATTTATATTTACTGTTTTCCCCCCAATGGATGAACTAAGACTCTCTGTTTTTTCTCTCATAGATGAACTAATTTAGAGTCACCATTAATTTTCCTAACAGGTAAACTAATTTAGATTCACTATTAATTTTTCTAATGAATGAACTAATTTAGATTCACGCCCCCCTCCCCCCTCCCGCATAGATGAACAAATTTAGATTTACTGTTCTCCCCCCACCCACCCCCCCCTCATAGGTGAACAAATTCAGATTCACTCCCCCCCCCCCCTTTTCCCATAGATTAACTAATTTAGATTCACTGTTAATTTTGTTTAACAGATAAACTTACTTATATTCACCGTTTTTTTCTCTCTCTAACAACTAATCTAGTAACACTGTTAACTTTTCTAACAGATAAACTAATCTAGCAACACTGTTAACTTTTCTAACAGATAAACTAATCTAGCAACACTGTTAACAGATGAACCACTCCAGATAAACTGGAACCTCACCACCAACCCAAGGATACAATGTTTGCCCGGAAACAAAGGTCTGTTTGCCAACATCTCTGCCAGTATACATCCAACTGACCAGACATCAACTAGAGCGGAATATAAAAAAAAACATGGCAACCATCAGCTGATATTATTATTTCAACATACATTCACAATGTTAAAAACCTGGCACTGTAAGCTAAAGGACAATGCAGTGACCCCTCGCTGACCTGGCTAATCGGGATATCGTCCCACTGTTTTAGACTTCCGCTAACAAATTCTGGATTTTGCTAATTAATTTTTTAGCAGATGCACTCACTAAAGTAACACGGCCAAGCTGTGAGCCGAATCTTCACACCAATCACCTTCCAGAGTGCCACAGAAAAAAACTCTTCTTATACCAGTGTCTGTAAAGTGCATGTTCCATGTGAATTATGTACGTACGTGTGATTAAAGCATTTATTCTTCACATGTTAGTTAGTTGTGTATCCTTTACAGGATGCTGTATATACAACCCCATAATTGTTTCGTTCTTGTGGGTTTTACAGGAAAATTTACATTCAGTAGTTTGCCACTGCTTTCTGAGCAGCTGATTCTTCGTACCAGTCAAAGTCAACACAACACAGTCTGCTGCCAAACTGCCTGGAGCTAGGCACCCCAGCATTTTGAATCATGCTTGCAACGCCTGAGCCACAGACACCTATATTTGACCAGTTTATATTATAGGAGTTTAATGCATAATTTGTAAATTTTTGTCCTATTTCAGCTAGCGAAGAGCTCAGCTAACAAATATGATTCTGACAAGACTTATCTCTATCAGCAACGGTATCAATGTACATGGATGTGGAAGAGGAGGCAGAGGCCAAGGCAGACAGACAACAAGGTGGAAATGTAACATACAAATTAACAACTATTTAGCATTTTGGCATATAAGGATGTACACAGGCACATAGCATTGCAGACAGTGATGAGAAAAGTGAAATTTAAGTAGTCAGCCAATGACTCATAGAGCACCCAGGTCAATCCAACCTACAGAAAACTGAAGCTGCGAAGTTTCAGGCTAACAGGGCAATGGCTCGCTTAGAAGGAGATGGGCACCAACCAGGTCAGATTTTTCCTTGCACCCACCACACAACTGGCCTAGCACTACTACACAAGATGGCACATTGAATTATGTGGCCAACACTGGGCTACAACCTGGTATCTGTGAGACGAGACAAAAGAAGACCTAACATTTTTATTTGCGGCATTCAAAAGAGTGATGACACATTTTTTGTGTATCTTTAATCTCACTGTGTCAAACTTGTATGTCCATATGGTTTGCCATCAGCAATGAAATCTTTAATCTCACTGTGTTAAACCTTCAGGTCCTGTTAGTCTGCCATCAGCAGTGAGATCTTTAATGTCACTGTGTCGAACCTTCAGGTCCTGTTATTCTACCATCAGCAATGAGATCTTTAATCTCACTGTGTCGAACCTTTAGGTCCTGTTAGTCTGCCATCAGCAATGAGATCTTTAATCTCACTGTGTCTAACCTTCAGGTCCTGTTAGTCTACCATCAGCAATGAGATCTTTAATGTCACTGTGTCGAACCTTCAGGTCCTGCCATCAGCAATGAGATCTTTAATCTCACTGTGTCGAACCTTCAGGTCCTGTTAGTCTACCATCAGCAATGAGATCTTTAATCTCACTGTGTTAAACCTTCAGGTCCTGTTAGTCTGCCACTAGCAATGAGATCTTTAATCTCACTGTGTCAAACCTTCAGGTCCTGTTAGTCTGCCATCAGCAGTGAGACCTTTAATCTCACTGTGTTAAACCTTCAGGTCCTGTTAGTCTGCCACTAGCAATGAGATCTTTAATCTCACTGTGTCAAACCTTCAGGTCCTGTTGGTCTGCCATCAGCAATGAGATCTTTAATCTCACTGTGTCAAACCTTCAGGTCCTGTTGGTCCTCAGGTCCAGACAGAGATATTCTAAGATCAGGGTGTCAAAGTGCTCAGGTAGCAGCCTAGAGTATATGAACGGAAGGCAGGTAGACAAGGAAGGCAGGTAGACAAGGAAGGCAGGTAGACAAGGAAGGCAAGTAGACAAGGAAGGCAGGTAGACAAGGAAGGCAGGTAGACAAGGAAGGCAGGTAGACAAGGAAGGCAGGTAGACAAGGAAGGCAGGTAGACAAGGAAGGCAGGTAGACAAAGAAGGCAGGCAGACAAGGAAGGACACAGACATGTAACAAACTAAAGGACCTCTTTGACCAATGAGTAAAAATCGCATGCAGTGGCCTTGTTTTGAACACACAGTTAAAAACAAAACCAACATCACAAAGCCGGAACAAACACAAACAGGGATAGTATGTAAATATTTGTGTCCCCAAACGTACTAGACTTTGTGTAACCCTTGGAGTTGAGCATAATCTCCGGAGCCCTGTACCAGCGTGTGGCCACGTACTCTGTCAGGAACCCTGTGTGGTCATGGTCGGGGTCGGCAACTCTGGCCAGCCCAAAATCACAGATCTGGGAAAAGACATCAACAATACCCATTGGTAAATAAGACGAGGCAATGCTTTTATCACAATAATGTATCATTTTATATTGCTTTAGTTTCATATTCCTCTATATGTGCTTATCAATACTCTTTGTTTAAATAGTTAATAAATTATATGTGTGGGTTCCATGGGCTTCAATTTGGGGGCAAGATTATAGACTCACTACCCCTCTAACAAGCATGTTGTAAAAGGTGATTCTCCTTCTTCTTATACTTTGCGTTCACCGGATGTAAACTCCAGCTGGTTGTTCGTCCACCTCTGGACTTGGGCCTTGCTCCAGAACCTGAGTGTTGCGTGCAGCTGAGTTAACCTTAACATGACATTTAGTTATTTTTTCTTAGCATACACTGGTTGTAAACTCGGGCAAAAAGTTCTGGTTGTTCATCCATTTCTCTACTGTGTCTTGTTCCAGAACTTGTTTTGCGTGCACACCCATTTAACAAATCTGGTATATTTGTATGCAGACTGTTGGTTCCTTGTCTCAGGCAGATGCACTCCAACTTCGAAGGAAGACCCCAATTAGTCGACTTTTATGATATGCTTGTTGGGGAGGCAGTGGGTCTATTCTTGCTTTCCTCACAAGGGGCCCTGGAACCCACACGTGGGGGGAAAAAGGGCAGCATGTTTCCTTCGAAGTCAGAGTGCATCTATCACTTATATTACCTTGAGATAACATATCAATTTGAGATCAAATATATTACTTTCAGATCACATGTATTACCTTTCTTCTTCTTCTTCTTCTTCTTTTGTTCACTGGCTGTAAACTATGTCGAAAGTATTGGTTGTTTGACAATTTCTGTCTTGTTCCAAAACTTAAATTTGGCACCTACATCCATGTCACAGATCTGCTTACTTGTATACAGACTGTTGGTTCCTCACCTCTCTGGGTGATGCACTCCAACTTCGGGGGAGGAAAATCCCTAATTATGTGCCTTTCATGACATACTTGACAGGGCAAAGCAGTGGGTCCATTCTTTATGTACATGAATCACCTTGAGATTACATGTATCACCTTGAGATTACATGTATCACCTTTAGATCACATGTATCACCTTGAGATCACATATATCATCTTGAGATCACATATATTACCTTGAAATTATATATATTACCTTGAAATAACAAATATTATCTCAACATTGCATATATTACCTTGAAAAGATATACACTACCTTGAAATGGCATATATTATCTTAAGATGGCATACATCACCATGAAATCACATATATCACCTCGACATCAGATATATTACCTTGAGATCACATGTATTACCTTAAGATCACACATAAATTACCTTGAGATCACATGTATTACCTTAAGATCACACATATATATTACCTTGAGATCACATGTATTACCTTAAGATCACACATAAATTACCTTGAGATCACATGTATTACCTTAAGATCACACATATATTACCTTGAGATCACATGTATTACCTTAAGATCACACATATATTACCTTGAGATCACATGTATCACCTTAAGATCACACATATATATTACCTTGAGATCACATGTAGTGTTGAGGAGAAGGTTACTGGGTTTCAAGTCTCGGTGTAGAACGTTTGCCGAGTGGATATACTTGAGCCCTCGGAGGATCTGGTACAGGAAGTAGCAGACGTGGTCGTTGCTGAGCTGCTGTGTTTTCAGCAGCTTGTACAGGTCTGTCTCCATCAGACACTGGACGATGTAGCTGAGATCTGCGTTAAGGAGTTCAGTCAATTGTGCTTTGGGCTGGAGGTTCCATGCCCAGGCTTAGAACTTGAAAACTGACGAGTGAAATTCAAATATTTAGGGACCACATGGTATTTAAGAGAAAGATTAACACTTACGCTAAGAAACTTCTGGGGCAGAAAGGTCATGTACCCAGGAATTCACTGGAAAAAAAAATCTTTAAAAAAGAAAAAGAAAAAAAGAACATACACAATTTTACAAAGGCCACTAATAATTACACAAAATTATTTATATATCAAAAAATATATTGTTTTTAATATATAAACGGTAGTTACCAATATGCATGAATGAGAAGAGTTAAACTGATTACATACCCTTGGGGGTAAAAAAAAAATGATGACTCACTACAACACTGTAAGTTATAGTCAATTTATGACGCCTTGATCTATAGAAAAGCTATGTTTTCACAACATATAGGAGTTTCAGGAAATGGTCAATGCAGCAAAGCATGATGAAAATAAACGATGAAGCCAATATTTCAATGTCTCAAATTCAAAGGCAGAAAACCAGCCTCAGCTTAAATTATAACAATGTTTTTATGTAGACCTTGTGGCAGCTACTGCCGCTCCTGCATGAGGACTTGACAAGTCCCTGCAGACATGGCTCCACAGTCTCGAGGTACTGGTTGTTGCCTGCTACAGGCCAAAAAACACAGGGCTGAAACAGTTAACTGAAATGCAATCCATCAGATGGTATAACCATCAAAGACAGTGACTTCAAGGAAAAAGAAGGTAAGTGCACAATGTTTAGAAAGAACCATAAAACAAAACCAAACTTAATGAAAGCTAATAAAAAAATAAATAAAAAAAAACACTGGCTTTCACACTATAATGCCACCCCCCAGAAAGACGTCAAGGAATTCAGAATGTTGCAAGAAACCTACCACCACATGCTCGCTTTAAAGCTCCAGAAGTCCAAACTAAATTGGTAGGCATGGAAACCAAACAGTCCGACCCAATCGCTCTTATGAACTCATCACTAAAGACCGTTGATTCTTACCCCCAAGAATGGATACATGTCTATACTGATGGATCAGCATTTAAAGCTACCATTAAAGCAGGTTACAGAATCTACATAGGTTATCCCGATGGATCTGTTGAAGAGATTTTTTATGCATGCAGGGAATTCTGTTCAAATTATGAAGCTGAAATAATTGCACTGGAAACAGCAGTATACCACCTAAAGACTGTAATGGATGTTTACCCTTTAAAGGTCCAAAATATTGTCATCTTCACAGATTCAATGTCTGCCCTTCAAGCTCTGGAGGGCAGTGAACGCTGCAGAACTGACATAGCCAAGATAATCCTGGATGCTGATCAGCTTATTAACTCATACAACATCAGAATAGTGATGCAGTGGATTCCAGGTCACTCCGGCACACCAGGTAATGACAGAGCTGACAGATCGGCAAAGAGAGGAGTAACACAAGAACAACCACCAACAGAACAACCCTCCAGACAACAAAAACACTTATAAGAGCTATAAACAAAGAGACTTGGTTGAACAGATGGGCCATGGGAGACACTGGAAGAGAGGTTTATAGACATATGGCTGGCCCTGATCCTAATGACAGCATTTTAACCATCTAACAAGATGGGACCAGGCCACCATCTTCAGACTTAGAACGCAACATACTCCACTCAATGGACATCTAAACAGAATACAGCCACAACATCCCCCAGAGTGCCAGGTATGTAAATAACCCTACAAAACTGATGAACACCATCTCTTTGAGTGCCCAAAACTCAGCGAGACAAGAAGAACGCTACTACCTCCGAGACCAGACAAGTGGAACACCTTGTACGGAGGAAAAGAACAGCTTGTGAAAACATGCAAATTCCACTACATGGCATTGGGCCAAAGCTCATGCACCGCTGGATCGATAACAACAACACATTATAAAGCAAGCAGCATTAACTCTCAGCCCATACACATTTCACACAGTAAAATGTTATTGACATAGTCTATGACAACAGCACTAAAGATAAAACTGGAGGTGTTCAGTCTTCCATTAAAAAGGATACACATCTTTCATTTCATCAACTGTATTAGCTCTCAGTATGTCTCGTATGTCAATGATCTGAAAGGAAATGTAACCACCTCTTCAACATCATCATTTTATGCAGTCAGCATCATTTTCATCATTATTTTATTAAATCAATAGCATTATCATCATTATTTTATGAAATCAGCAGCATTTTCATCATTATTTTATGAATTCAGCAGCATTATCATCATTATTTTATTAAATCAGCAGCATTATCATCATTATTCTATTAAATCAGCAGCATTATCATCATTATTCTATTAAATCAGCAGCATTATCATCATTATTCTATTAAATCAGCAGCATTATCATCATTATTTTATTAAATCAGCAGCATCATCATCATCTCTCTGTGAGGGTTCCAGGACCACATTGAAGAAAACAATGAATAGACAGACCACCCAGCTGCCCACAAGCACACCGTAACAGTTGACTAGTTAGGGGTGTTTCCTTTAGAGTGCATCTCCCTGACAGCATTATGTGCTGCGCTGTTAAGTATAAGCCATCTTTGGCCATTTCACAAGATCACCGGAATTATGGATCAATGTTGTTGTCTCAATCGCATGTCTTGATAGTCAAATCATTCAGGTTATTTATCTCTGTCTTCTCTTGCTCTCTTTCCATCAATCTTGCCAGTTGCTGGAGTCACAGAGGACTCCAGACGTCACTGTCGTTGACCACGTAATGAGAAGAGGTCATTGGAAAACATTGTGTCAACTGGAAAGATCAGTGGAAAGAGGGGTAGAGGCAGACCAAGAGAGATAAGGCTGAATGGGTTGAAACGATGGCATGGAGGGATATCATCAAGAGAGCTGTTCAAGGCAACCAGGGATCGTAATCTGTGGAGATGCATGAGTGCCTATGCCAACTGGCAGGGCACATGATGATAATGAACTTGCCAGATGTTACCAATTCTTATAATAACATGCCAAAAATCAGAGATGGTCTACATCTCATTTCTTTTCTAACCAGTTACAGGTTTTCATCAGTGTAATGACAGAGAAGCTAAAGTATAAAAGCTACGACTATGATATTTAAGAACAAACAACCCAACAACATATAAACTATGAACATGTACGTACATTTTCATGCTTGAATCTGGTGAGAATTTTAATCTCTCGCAGCGTCCTCTGACAGTATGTCTGATGCTCAAATGGTGAAATCTTTTTAATGGCTACCTTGACTTTTGTTTCATTATCTGTTGCAGACCTACGGCAAAGTTTTAAAAAAAAAAGTTAATAATTGTTATCAGTTCACTCTTTTTTGTGTGAGCGCTAGAACAGTTCACAGAACAATATAAAGGAAATTAAAATCATTAATACCAACTGTTCCCATGTGGAGTGTGGGACACCAGTTTGGAGGGAAAGAGAATAGACCCTCTGCCCTCCACCCGCCAGTCGTAGAGAGCAAGTAATAAGGGGTGTTTCCTCTCAAGTCAGAGTGCATCTGCCTAAGAGGCGAGAAACCAACAGCCTGCATACAGATAAACCAGATCTGTTAAACTGACGTGTAAGCACAATTCAAGGTCTAGAACAAGACCACAAACTCCAGAAGCGGGCCAACAACCAGAACTTTCCGCCAGAGTTTACAACCGGAGATCTCTAAGCAGAAGAAACAGAAAAAAAGAGGATAATATCATCATCAAGTGCCTTGCTGACTGGCCTGGGTGATGATGACTAAACAGCTTGTCAACACCAGGAAGAAAAGAAGCACTTACAGAAGAAGAGACAAAATTAGAGGATACTTTAGACAATAGAACAATTTTAAGTTATGTTCACATAGAACAATTTTAAGTTATGTTCACATAGAACAATTTTAAGTTATGTTCACATAGAACAATTTTAAGTTATGTTCACATAGAACAATTTTAAGTTATGTTCACATAGAACAATTTTAAGTTATGTTCACATAGAACAATTTTAAGTTATGTTCACATAGAACAATTTTAAGTTATGTTCACATAGAACAATTTTAAGTTATGTTCACATAGAACAATTTTAAGTTATGTTCACATAGAACAATTTTAAGTTATGTTCACAAAAACTAGAATTTGAACTTGTCCCCTCCAAATGACTTCAGCAACTTTCTGAAGGAAAAGGGGTGCATCTACAGAAAGGGAGGACCATTTCACCTTATTTTTCACTTTGGGCATATCACTGAACGTTTGGCGGCGTAAAACAAACCTGACCTCCCTCATTGTGAAAACAACTTTGGGCGTAGGAGCACACTGGGGAGAAAACTAGCCTTATCTTAGAAGAAGGAAATACAACCTGAAGTCCTAATGTTATGGCAGGGCAGACCAGGCCTTTAGCTTTATCTGTCAGTTGGTCTTGAAGAGAATCTCCGATAGGTGGACAGAGAGAGCACTGCTCCTTTAATCCAGCAGCTTCTGCAGCATGCTTTTTTTTTTCAAAGGTACTGATGTTACCTTTCCTTTGGAGCAAACAAGGTGGGCCAAAAGGGGATCAGGATACATGTGAAACATATGATCTCCAAAATACTGCTCAGGCTTGTTGCTATGGAGAGGAGGTTCATTCCATGGACCGCGTTGCATGGAGGCAGCAGGTAAGGAGGGAAATTCTTCTTTTTCGTTCATCCGAAGATGTAACTGCGTTGTGTCCATTTACAGCCTTTCGGCCAACACATCCAACTTCTACCGGATTAGCCTTCCCAGTTAGTTTTGTGGGACACTGCAGTCTCACTGCTGCGTGATCATCTGTTTTCCAGGTCACAGGCGGCGCCCCATATCAGATCAATCCAGAGAAGCCATGTAAAGCTGATCGGCCCTAAAAAAGGCAATGTGGGGAGGGGGGGGGGGGGAGAGGACATGAGCATTCTCTGGCATCCAAGAAGGCTTCCACAAATGCAGAGCCAATACATGATGCTCTGGGACTGGGTTCACTCAAGGAATCATCACATGATGCTCATATCTGTTTAACCTCACATCCATATACTGAACATTTCATTCACCATGGGCTATGTCTTTAGAAGCCAGCAGTAGACAGCCTGCAGACTTGGCATTTCAATTAAATTCACAAAATGAGTACTGTGCTTCTCAGGAAGGAAATAAGAATGAAGGAAGAAATAATTGCAGAAAGGCTGAGAGCTGACCACTGAATTAACTTGAAAAAAAAAAACCCCAGTGAAATTTATACTAGACAAAACTGCTGATACAGACAAATTATTTCAGGCGAACAAAAGAAGAAGTAACACTAATGTACGTGCAAAACTCAGGCCCTGGCACAAAGCCAAGTCCAAATGGACGAACAACCAGGACTTTCTACTGTAGCTTAGAACTGGTAACCAGAGAAGACACACACTTGCTACAAACAAACACCCAGCCACACATTCATTCATCTTTCATCTACGTTTAAACACACGTAAACATTTATACATACATTTACAGAGGAAATACAAATACTGTAGAGGTGTACAGGGGTCTTGCTTAGCCAGGTCTATCAAACAGAGAACAGAATATGGGCAGTCTTATCTAGCCACTGCAATAGCAACAGAGGTTTCAGAAATGTTTCTTATCTAGCCACAGCAATAGCACCAGAGGTTTCAGAAATGTTAATTATTTAGCCACTGCAATAGCAACAGAGGTTTCAGAAATGTTTATTGTCTAGCCACTGCAATAACACCAGAGGTTTCAGAAATGTTAATTATCTAGCCACTGCAATAGCAACAGAGGTTTCAGAAATGTTTATTATCTAGCCACAGCAATAGCGTTTCAGAAATGTTTATTATCTAGCCACAGCAATAGCACCAGAGGTTTCAGAAATGTTAATTATCTAGCCACTGCAATAGCAACAGAGGTTTCAGAAATGTTTATTGTCTAGCCACTGCAATAACACCAGAGGTTTCAGCAATGTTGATTAACCAAGCACAGATCAAGACAAATAAGCAGGCAGGTAGACTGGTCGGCTCTGCATCACTTGGTGGTGAACTGGGGTGTGACAAGTTAGATGGTGTGAGGGCTCTTTAGGAGCGAGTGAACGGTGTGAAGGCACAGATAGATCATTAAGGTCTCAGGAAAATGGCACTGAGGAGTTACCAGGGGATCTGGCCAACACTCAACACTCAAGGGAAGGATGAGATGGACATACAATCAGACGGTTACTGGTACCATCAGAATTGGAACTCTTCGCTGAAGATGGGGACGGAGCATTTACGGGAGTGTCCTGAGTTTACTTATATAGGTAGTAATCTTGACAGTGAAGAAAATGAAAAGAAATAAATTATGACATGCATAGGCAAGGGATAAGCAGCTTTTAAACATCTGAACAAGACAAGGAACTATAAACTGTTAGCATCAACAGTTATGACAGAGAAGAGAGGGCAACCACTAGCATCAATAATTATGACAGGGAAGAGAGGACAACCGCTAGCATCTACAGTTATGACAGTCTACAGTTATGACAGAGAAGAGAGGGCAACTGCTAGCATCAATAATTATGACAGAGAAGAGAGGGCAACTGCTAGCATCTACAGTTATGACAGGGAAGAGAGGACAACGGCTAGCATCTACAGTTATGACAAAGAAGAGAGGGCAACTGCTAGCATCTACAGTTATGACAGAGAAGAGAGGGCAGCTGCTAGCATCTACAGTTATGACAGGGAAGAGAGGGCAATTGCTAGCATCTACAGTTATGACAGAGAAGAGAGGGCAACTGCTAGCATCTACAGTTATGACAGAGAAGAGACGGCAACTGCTAGCATCTACAGTTACATGACAGAGAAGAGAGGGCAACTGCTAGCATCAATAATTATGACAGGGAAGAGAGGACAACCGCTAGCATCTACAGTTATGACAGAGAAGAGGGGGCAACTGCTAGCATCTACAGTTATGACAGAGAAGAGACGGCAACTGCTAGCATCTACAGTTATGACAGAGAAGAGAGGACAACCGCTAGCATCTACAGTTATGACAGAGAAGAGAGGGCAACCGCTAGCATCTACAGTTATGACAGAGAAGAGGACAACCGCTAGCATCTACAGCTATGACAGAGAAGAGAGGACAACCACTAGCATCTACAGTTATGACAGAGAAGGGAGGGCAACCGCTAGCATCTACAGTTATGACAGAGAAGAGAGGGCAACCGCTAGCATCTACAGTTATGACAGAGAAGAGAGATCAACCGCTAGCATCTACAGTTATGACAGAGAAGAGAGGGCAACCGCTAGCATCTACAGTTATGACAGAGAAGAGGACAACCGCTAGCATCTACAGTTACATGACAGAGAAGAGAGGGCAACCGCTAGCATCTACAGTTATGACAGAGAAGAGAGGGCAACCGCTAGCATCTACAGTTATGACAGAGAAGAGAGATCAACCGCTAGCATCTACAGTTATGACAGAGAAGAGAGATCAACCGCTAGCATCTACAGTTATGACAGAGAAGAGAGGACAACCACTAGCATCTACAGTTATGACAGAGAAGAGGACAACCGCTAGCATCTACAGTTATGACAGAGAAGAGGACAACCGCTAGCATCTACAGTTATGACAGAGAAGAGAGGGCAACCGCTAGCATCTACAGTTATGACAGAGAAGAGAGGACAACCGCTAGCATCTACAGTTATGACAGAGAAGAGAGCACAACTGCTAGCATCTACAGTTATGACAGAGAAGAGAGCACAACCGCTAGCATCTACAGTTATGACAGAGAAGAGAGCACAACCGCTAGCATCTACAGTTATGACAGAGAAGAGGACAACCGCTAGCATCTACAGTTATGACAGAGAAGAGAGCACAACCGCTAGCATCTACAGTTATGACAGAGAAGAGGACAACCGCTAGCATCTACAGTTGTGACAGAGAAGAAAGAGACTGCACAGATTCTGAGAATGAATGAGGAGAAGATCATAAAAAGGCATTAAAGTGGGAAATAAAGGGATTAAGGAGACAAGATGCTGAAAAGAAACCCTCAAATGAACACTACAGACAGAGGCCAAAACTGGACTGGATTCCATCTATGACATTGAACAGGACAGAACAAAATGGAGTAACAGACTGTGAACCCTATGTGACACATAATCGCACAACAGCTCAATGAATGAATGAGTCACAACAAAACACAGATAATATAACAAGTAGATGGTATTGCTAAGAAGAATACCCCCCCCCCCCCCCCAAAAAAAAAAAAAAACTGCTGAAATTAACAGCTGACTGCTTATTTATACTGTTATATTAAAAAAAAAAAGAAACTAGAAAGAGAGAAGAGTTTTCAGCTAATGAATAAGATAAATGGAAATTACGGAAATACTTTGAGAGGCGAAAATTCTCATATATTTATGACATTACGGTTACCACTATTAGAATGGCCCTGTTGTCACGGTTGCTAGCCATAAAGACTAAAGTTGATAAAAAGACTCGGATTGTTTTTTTATAGTGCCAGATCACAACTTTATAAAAATAATAATAATTAATAAACATTTAAGACTTCGGGTAGAAAACGGATACGGAAAAAAAGCAAGGAAGAAAGAATTCTCAGGTCAGATTTAGTCTCACCTGTACTGGTTGAACTTGGGCACTATAATATCTGAAACCAGATCTGCTTATCACTGTACGAAACTTAAAATCAATCTACGCGACTCCAGGAGAAGCTGAAATCTATTTCAGTTTCAGCTGCTTCTTAATGAAATAACTAACACAATCACTAATGAAAAAATGCCTGTTGCGGCTACAAAGCCTTCACCAGCACACAACACGGGATCATAATAAATTAACTAAGCAGCTACTTAAAAGAAACATTTAAAAAATAATAATAATTACGCTTACAATAACTTATCTTTTCGTCTGTGTTTTTACAAGTTGAGCAAGGTAACCGAACTTGCAACCAAACACGGAAGCGGTGACTGGGCGGACCCAAATACAGAAACAACATACAGAGAACTTACACAACCATGCCGTAAGCGCCTTCTCCGATGTAAGTGAGGTTGGTATAGCGAGGTCCGACCTCGAACATCTGTCCCCTGATTAGCTCGCCTGGGTATTTGGCTGCAGACTTGGACTGAGACCCCTGCGCCGCCATCTTGGAAAGTGGCGCCCTGCTCGCAAGCGGACGGCTTGCGGATCACGTGACCCGCTGGATTTGCGTCATCGCTGGAGGTTCAATAGCTGGGTCTGGGTGGTAAAGCTTCGTAGTATGTAGAGAATGGTGTGAGGGGACTGGTTCAAGTCTACAATGTCTTTCAGGCTGTTTATGTTAGGGCAGTTAGATATATTCTGTAGCTGGCTCCGGGTAGCTGAATTACGTTGTGCCTGAAAGTTCTAATGTAGGCTGTGAGGAAACTGGTTCCAGTCCTCAGTGTCTTTCAGACTGTTTACATTAGGGTAGTTAAGATATGTTATGTAGATCCGGGTGGCTGAGTTACCTTGTGCCTGAAGGTTCTAATGTAGGTTGTGAGAGAACTGGTTCCAGTCTTCAGTGTCTCTCAGACTGTTTACATTAGGGTAGTTAGATATGTTCTGTAACGTCCTTACCTACATGGGACTCCCGTTACAGGTGACCTCATTATAACTTCTTTGATGTTTTAACGGGGATTCTAGGATCTACCTTGTTGGTCTGCCTTCAGAAGAAGATGCTTATATCTCAGAACTATATAGTAAACATTTAGGGTAGCAGCTTGGATTGGACACACCGATAAACTGATCGATATTTCAGTTGATGAGTTGTGAGACCTTGTTGATATGCTTTGAATTCTGAAGTGGAAAAAAAAGGGCATAAATTGACACAGGACACCATAGACGCTTTAGGCACATAATATAACACAACATAACCCTTGATCCATTAGGGTCGTGGATGTGTATCGATTGAAGCACTAGCGCACAAAAACCCGCCATATTGCTCTGTCTTCTGCTTGTTGAACATCATCATCATCCCCATAACACTGCGTGTCGTTGGGTCATCAGTTTCTGTTGACTGATCAGCTCTCTCCACCTTTGGCGGTCAAATGCGATGGACTTCATGGTTGCATGCCCGAGGCCTGTCCAGTCAGTCAGGTTCTGTAACCAGGTCTTTCTTAGGTCTGTATCTTCTCCTCTTTCCCTCTACCGAGTCCTGCAGTATTGTTTTTGAGAAGCCGTTATGTTTTATTACATGTCCATACCATTGCATTTTTCGCCTTTTCACTGTAGTTAAAAGAGGCTCATAGTTGCCAATGTGCTGTATAATTTTATGGCGAACCTCTTCGTTTATAATGTGCTTCTCTGTATGATATGCCAAGAATTTTTCTGAAATATCGCATTTCTGATGCTTGTATCTTTCTTTTAAGTTCATCTGTTGAGGTCCATATTTCACAGCCATGTGTAAATCTACTAATAGCTAGTTCTCTGAGTAATCGAATCTTAGTTTTGCATGAAATGTTGTTGGATCTCGAAAATGTTTGCTGCTTGGCAAGGACTGATGTTGTCTAGACATGATTTCTGGTCTTGACCCCAAGTCACTTAAAATGGATCCTAAATATTTAAAATGAGTCACTTGTTTTAATGTGTGACCTTTAACGTAGACTGGTGAAATTTTGCCATCTGGGTTATGAGTAATTTTTTTCTGCGGTTTTTTTTTTTCATGCCATACTTGGTTAATGTTTCATCGAGTAGATTTACAATCTTGACTAGCTCTTGTTTTTTCTGCGGCCAACCCATCGATGTCATCTGCAAACCTTAAGTTTGTTATAATTCGACCTCCTATACTAACTTTTCCATGATGTTGTTCTAGGCCATCAGTCATAATTCTTTCTAAAAAGATGTTAAGCAGTGTTGGAGAGATGAGGCAACAATGACGGGCTCCTACTGTTGTTCGAACCAGATCCCTATTTGTCCGTTCAGCGTGACAGCACTGCTGGCCTTGGCATAGAGATGTTCTATAGTACGTATGCGGGTTTTACCCATATTGTACTTTTTCATAGTGTCCCAGAGTGTTGCATGCCATACTCTATCAAAGGCTTTTTTGAAACCAATGAAGACATGGTATAGATGTTTTTGGTGCTGGTGGTTTTGCTCAGATAATATGTGTAGATTAAATATCTGTTCAACAGAGAGAGAGAGAGAGAGAGAGAGAGAGAGAGAGAGAGAGAGAGAGAGAGAGAGAGAGAGCGAGAGAGAGAGAGAGAGCGAGAGCGAGAGCGAGAGAGAGAGAGAGAGAGAGAGAGAGAGAGAGAGACCAAGTCAGTATCTCTCGAGTGAGACAGAGTACCGTGCAACTATCAGGCATTAAGGTCTGAGTAAGGGTTGTGGTTACGGTACTGGTCGAAGGTATAGTCCCGCTGGCGAAGTATGTTCAAGGGGACTGGATGCTCCAATAGTGCCTGTTCTGGGTGACCGCGCGAGGAGACGTATGGTCACTGCGGAAACAGAACAGTAGGGATGCCGACGAGAGCTGTGTGCTAGAGGGGACTGTGTTAGAAGTCCTGTCGGTCATCGGAGTCTTTCGACAGGCTGACGTGCTGTGTGCTTTGGAGAACGGGTAAGGGAAGTCTGTCTCCAGTCAGCAGTAAGTTTGATGTGCTGCTGAGAACGTAGGGAAGTCTGTCTCCATTCAGCCGTGGTTGTCTGCTGAAGTAAAATCAGGGCCCAGTGGATAGGAGAGTTCGTCCTACAAGTTAAGAGAGAGTGAGGACTAAATTGATTTTGCTCGAATGCCAGTTAGGATCAATGACTACGTCTCTGCAGTTTTGTTGATGTGAGGGCTGGTAACTACCCTCTCGTTTTCTGACGAATTAATATGCTATGTGACTGAACTACTTTCGTCGAGTCCTGCTTCGAGAGTGCGGGAGCGAAAGTTATATCAATAGACACTTGGAAGTGTGCTGATTAGTGTGTAACTCAGATAGCACACAACAATTACCTTGTACTCATTTTTGGCAGGATTGACCCGAAAGTCAAGGTCATGTCTGGCAGGAAAATCTGCCTCTTCTTCTTCTGCCTTTCTATCCTCCAATGGAGCATAAGCCCTCAACTAACTCACTCGAAGTCGTTCTATCCTTTGCCATTGCATGGAGCTCTCCCCATGTCCTCCCATCTTTCTAACTTCATTCTTCAGCTCTCTTCTCTAAGTGTTTTTTTTTTTTGCCTTCCTTTATTCCTATGCCCCTGTGGGTTCCAATGCAAAAACGTTCTAGTTAGTCTGTTCTGTTTTCTCAGTGTGTGTCCTATCCAACGTCAGCGTCTTTTCCTCACCTCTTTGTCCACTGGAGCCTGTTTAGCTCTCTCCCAAAGCTCTACATTAGTTATTCTATCGTACCATTTAATTCCCTCTATTTTGGGCAGGCACCAGTTAATTAATATCTGTAGTTTATTAGTAATTGCCTAAGTTGTTCTCCGTGTTTCCGCCCCATTCAAAAGCGCTAATTTGACATTAGAATAAAAAAAAAATTTTGTTTAGTATTTCTTTTCTTGTTCTTTTGACTTCCACTAATTTCCCTAGTGCTATGAAAGCTCTTCTTGCCTTTTGTATTCTTATTTTAATTTATTTTAATATCTCTATTAGTTCCTCCATCTTTATCTACATTACTGCCAAAATAGGTGCACGACTCCATGTCTTGGAGTGGGGTGCCATTAAGAGAAACCACATTACTATTTGCCTGATTTATTCTCATTATCTTTGTCTTTCCTTTATAGATTTTCAGACCAATCTGCTGCGATCTCGCATCAATTATATTTAATTTATCTTGCATCTGATTCCGTGAATGGGACAGAAGAGAAATATCATCAGCGAGGACCAGATCATCAAGCTGTTTTGTAGGGGTCCACTGAATTCCATTCTTGGTGTTAGCAGTTACTGTTTTCATAATCCAGTCAATAGCCAGCAAAAATAAGAGAGGCGACAAAAGACATCCCTGTCGCAAACCTATTTTTATTTCCGCCTCTATCTGGATGAAATAAATGAAGCAAATAAGTGAATCCTTCATAACTGAAGTACAAAGTCAACCACACTGAAAAGAGACTGCGTAATTTACCATGGCAACTGCGATTACTGACCGGGTACAATCGGCTGTCGCTTTTGGGTGTGGGTTGAATTTGTACTTCGGTTATAAAGGATTCACTTATTTGCTTAATTTTTGTAATTGTTACTGTAGCATGAAACTACTGGACGTAAATTTGCCTAGAAAAACCAACGGTTTTGGTTCTGCAACGTCCTGTAAAGGATACGCAACTAACCTTAACTGTAGATGCACCTGGCGAGATACAGCGAAATATGATAGACAATAAATTGTGCAATCTATTGTTTTTGTCTTCTTTTGCAAATGTACAACGGGAAAACTCTGCTTTCAGCTTCTTTAATTGAACACCAAAACAAAAAAAAAAAAAAAAAAAAAAAACATTTAATGTTTACGAAAACATAAGGTTAACATTACCGAAAACGTAGCCACAGATTTGTAACCTTGATCACGTGATACAGTTTCAATCATCGCATTACATTTGTCGTCTTTTAACATTATTTTGATTTATATTATACAAGGAAATATTTATTTATATTTTCATATACCATTTTATAAAATATAAGATGGACGATGTATGACAGAAATTAAGAGCAGAATTGGCCAGGCAAAGACAGCTTTTCAGGAGACGAAAAGTATTGTATGTAAAAAAAAAACCACCCTCACTAAAATCAGAAAAGGAGTATAGAATTGTTACATCAAGCCTTTTCTGTTGTATGGTAGTGAATCTTGGAATGTGAGCAAACAAATTAAGACGAGTTTAGAGGCTGATGAGATGTGGTTCTTGAGAAGAAATGTTGAGAATACCTCGGACTGCCAGAATAACCAACATTGAATGTCTGGAGATGGTTAATGAAAGTAGAATATTATAATCAACATTGAGAAGGTGACGAACAAGGTTCTTTCGTCAGGTGATGAGGAAAGGAGCACTGGAACCTATCTTGACTGGAAAGATCACTGGTAGAAGAGGCAGGGGCAGACCAAGAGATATGATGGTGAATGGCTTAAGATAGTGGCAGGGTGGCAAATTATTGGTAGAATTTACCCAGAACACAAAAGACCCAGGTCTGTGGCGACGCATGAACGATGATGA